ACTGACAGGTCTTCCCGGTTTTTTGTAGGGCCTCTTTATAATTTTCAGGTTTATGTAGCCGTAATTGTTTTAAGAGGTTTACAAAGCGGCCGCCCCACCCTTCCCTACTGCCCCCGCCACCAAAAAAATTATCTTCTTAAGTTTTCAACGTATGTCTTCTTAGTTGTTATTATTGCTTTTGTTGTTATTATTGTTGTCGCCGACATATTCATCAGAAATGTTGTCGTCGTCAAAGTAGTTTCTTTCAGTTCAGTTCACTTAACTTAGGAATTGTTCTTCAGCCTCAGCTTCTTGGGTTCCGATTTGTGCGAGTGACTACTTTGTGTGTGTGTCACATAAGCCATGGCATGGCTGCCGCTGTCATCATCAACGTCGTCATCGTCATCAATTAGCGAACTTTTGTAGGGCAATTACAAACGGTTATGCGATACGACCGACGACGACGCATTGGTGTGGGTGTTTAGAATGTTTAGACCCTAGGGCTGTTTCTTTGGGGTGATGGATATTTTAGCATTTTTAATAAATATATGGGTCAAATTATTTAATTTCCGAGAGAGGAAATGTGTGAAGCTTCTTTTAAAAGCATGAAGACAATTGTTTTTTTTGTTTCTTTTGGCCTAACACCCAAAAAATGATGGGAATAACCTTCATAATGGAGGACAGCGTGATGTATAGTGTGCGTGTTAAGATTGTTTTTCTGTTCATATTAGGAAATCTGCTCGAGACAATATGAATTATCCACATGCATCTTGGAAGTCTTTTTTTCTTTCAATTTTTTTTTTCTTTTGAAATAATGGTGTGAATAAAAACATATCGTGATGAAAATTTCCTAATTGAAAATTTTGAAAAACGAACTTTAATTACACCATTTTTTTTAACCATTCTGAGACATTCAAGGTGAAACACAAGAAGAAATAACATAATTAACACATAACATCTAGCTGAATTAAATTTTTTTCCATAGAAAAACTTTACATTTTTTTAAGAAAAAATCATTTTTGTCCATGAAACATGCAATTCAGCTTAGCTGAATTGAGTTTTCTAAAATGAAACTCTAATATTGCTGTACTAAATTCAGTTTTCATATGAAGTTTTCAGCTGAATTAAATTTTATAAAGAAAAAACTTCTAAATAGACCCTATAAATGAAAGTTTTTGTAGAAAAGTTACGATTACGCGATTTATTAAGTAAAACTCTAATTCAGCTTAGCTGAATTGCGATTTATTAAGTAAAACTCTAATTCAGCTCAGCTGAATTACGTTTTAGCAATTAAAATTTAAATTCAGCTCAGCTGAATTGAATTTTTCTAAGTTAAACTTTAATTCAGCTCAGCTGAATTGTGTTTTAACAAGTAAAACTTCAATTCAGCTCAGCTGAATTAAGTTTTATGGGGTAAAACTTCAATTCAGTTTAGCTAAGTTACGTTTTATCAAGTAAAACTTCAATTCAGCTCAGCTGAATTTTGTTTTAGCAAGAAAAAATTCAATTCAGCTGAGCTGAATTACGTTTTAGCAAGTAAAACTTTAATTCAGCACAGCTTAATTACTTTTTACCAAGTAAAACTTCAATTCAACTGAGCTGAATTACTTTTTACCAAGTAAAACTTCAATTCAGCTGAATTATGTTTTGCCAATAAGAACTTGATTTCAGCTCACTTTATTAATTTTTACCAAGTAAAACTTCAATTCAGCTCAGTGGAATTACGTTTTATGGAGTGAAACTTCAATTCAGCTTCAATAAATTGTGTTTTATTATGCAAAATGTCAATTCTCAGTTAAATGTTTTTTTTTTAACTGAAATCGTTAATTTCGCTCAGCTGAATTGTAGTTTGTTAAATAAAGCTTCAATTCAGCTCAGCTGAATTGCATTTGATTTTGTAAAAGTTCAATTTCGCACTGTTGAATTAAGGTTAATTGAGTAAATGTTAAATTCAGCTCAGCTGAATTGCATTTTGTTACACAAAGTTTTAATACAGTAGGACTAAATTATTATTTTGGCAGAAAAAATACAAAATTATAGAGTAAATCTTAAATTCAGCCCATCTGAATTGCAAGTTATTACGTTAATCTTCAATATAGTGGTATATAGTAAAATGAAATTTCTGAAGAAAAATTAAAATTCCGCTCAGCTTAATTGCGTTTTATTGTGTTCATCTTAATATAGTCTCTCTAAATCTAGTTTTTCATAGGCAATTCATCCTGGCTGAATAAGAGTTTCTATAGAAAATCTTCAATTCAGCCTGGCTGAATAAGAGTTTCTATAGGAAATCTTCAATTCAGCCTGGCTGAACGAGAGTTTCTATAGAAAATCTTCAATTCAGCCTGGCTGAATAAGAGTTTCTATAGAAAATCTTCAATACAGCCTGGCTGAATAAGAGTTTCTATAGAAAATCTTCAATTCAGCCTGGCTGAATAAGAGTTTCTATAGAAAATCTTCAATTCAGCCTGGCTGAATAAGAGTTTCTATAGAAAATCTTCAATTTAGCCTGGCTGAATAAGAGTTTCTATAGAAAATCTTCAATTCAGTCTGGCTGAATAAGAGTTTCTATAGAAAATCTTCAATTCAGCCTGGCTGAATAAGAGTTTCTATAGAAAATCTTCAATTCAGCCTGGCTGAATTAGAGTTTCTATAGAAAATCTTCAATTCAGCCTGGCTGAATAAGAGTTTCTATAGGAAATCTTCAATTCAGCCTGGCTGAATAAGAGTTTCTATAGAAAATCTTCAATTCAGTCTGGCTGAATAAGAGTTTCTATAGAAAATCTTCAATTCAGTCTGGCTGAATAAGAGTTTCTATAGAAAATCTTCAATTCAGCCCAGCTGAATTATTTGTAAACCCAATTTTTGTATGTACATTTTTATTGCTTACCATAAAAATAATTTTCCACGTTTCACTACATGCCTGCTTGCTTCTGCTGCCTTTGAGCATCGTTCCAGTTAGCACAACTCCACCATACAAAAGGGGTCAAATTGGTCCATTTAACGCCGTTAATTACTTTGAAATGAAATTAACAACAGCAACAACCAGAAGAGCAACAGTTCGCTGTTGTTGGTGTGCTAAGAGCTTGCGCCTGAGTTCTCGAAAAGTGAACTCTCTTTGTGATGTCATTTAGGGAGTGTGCCATAGGGGCTTCCTCTCACTCTACCTCTCTCCTTTTGAATAGATTTTGAAGTGCATTTAATTTGTTTTGACATCGTCAAGAGAAGTCAAAGGGTGGCTATAATTTTTGGAAATTGATAATTGATTTTTGGGAAGTATTTAAGAATTATTATTAAAGGGCATGAAAAGTAAGGGTAGGGCTGTGGGAAGAGGGCTCGGAAAATGTATGCAATAAAATTCGGAATTTTCTCCCTCTTTTTTTGAAATTTTTAAATAACGTGTTTTTGTTCTGCTGGTCTGATCTTGATGTTATGCGGAATACCAATTCCATTGGTTGTTATTAAAAAAATATGACCTCTTAGTCCCCCTCCTCTTATGCCTGACTTCTAAACATGATTTTATTTGAATTCTGCCCCCAAAAACTGCGATGAGTATGGCCAATAATAGCCCATCCAACCACAAAATATTGCTCTTGACATTGTTAATATATTTATATATTATAAGATTGAGGTTAGGTTACGTATTTTATGCTAAATTTAGATTGAGCTATTAACAGATTTTCGATTTAAACACCACTGCCCCGATTCTCAAATAACAAATTACAGTTAAATTTGTTTGTATGTTCGAATTGTTGCAACACTTTCCATTTCGATTAGAGCCAGACACCTACCTACCTTCCGACACCCCAATCCATTGTCATTTGTAACCGAAAACTCAAGTGTTCAGAACTCACATCATAAATTGTCAAACATTTTGCGGTTATCACAAACAAACACACACACCCACACATACAAAACATGCAAGAACAGATTCGAATGCAATGAATATTAAAATTGGTAATTTTTTTGTATACGTAGGAAATCGTGGCGTGGATTTTTAAAAATATTTTTAGAAGTCACTACAATATGCGTTCAAAGTTCATCGGAGATGACTTTTCCTATAGAAAAGTTCATCGGAGATGACTTTTCCTATAGAAAAGTTCATCGGAGATGACTTTTCCTATAGAAAAGTTCATCGGAGATGACTTTTCCTATAGAAAAGTTAGAATCGGAGATGACTTTTCCTATAGAAAAGTTCATCGGAGATGACTTTTCCTATAGAAAAGTTCATCGGAGATGACTTTTCCTATAGAAAAGTTCATCGGAGATGACTTTTCCTATAGAAAAGTTCATCGGAGATGACTTTTCCTATAGAATAGTTCATCGGAGATGACTTTTCCTATAGAAAATTCATCGGAGATGACTTTTCCTTTAGAAAAGTTCATCGGAAATGACGTTTCCTATATAAAAGTTCATTGAAGAGAACTTTTCTCCTGGAAAAGTGCTTCTCGGTCGAACTCTTATCACAGCTTTGTATTTATTTTTACCTCAACTTAATGCCAAATTTGTACAACTTCCCACCTTCCAATTAAATCACCTCGAATGACGCCATCCCGTGAAATCATTTCCGAATTGGTCACGTCCTTATTACGATTATCGCAATTAGATTGCACTGCATGGTTCAAGGAAACCCTAACCGCATGCCGCGTAACTCGAGTCTGGAAGTGATTGATGAAATTAATATTATCAACTCATGCTTAATTTCTGGCCACCAGAGCACACACCACCAACAACAACAGCAACCACTTATAGATGACACATTCGTATGACTCGGACTAGTCCGAGCTATTAAAATAAAATGGTTAATTGAAATAAATTTAATTTTCAGACCACAATAAAAAAAAATAACATCATTATGTCATTTAAAGTGAAATAATCGAATAAAAAAGACTTGCGACAACGGAGGCAGGACAGATAAACTAGCTTAATAGGTTCCGACATATTTATAAAAATAATAAGAAAATTAAATAAAAATTTTTCTTCTTTTTGTCTTTTGCAGTGAAAACCAAATCGAAATAAAAAAAAAACTAAAAAATGCCGGCGGACACCAAGACAACAAATGCCGCCGATGCGGATACCACACCCACAAAGGGTAAGAAATCGAGCAATTCCAAGGCAGCCTTGGCACGTGTGACACTATTGGATGGCTCCATTTTGGATGTGACTATTGATGTAAGTTTTCCCATTCACACAAAAATTAAATTCCCCTCTTTAATAAAAATTAACCTTCCTTACATTACAGCGCAAAGCCAAGGGCCGTGATCTCCTGAATTCCATCTGTGCCGGTCTGAATATTGTCGAAAAGGATTACTTCGGTTTGACCTATGAAACACCCACAGATCCCCGCAATTGGTTGGATTTAGATAAGCCGGTATCGAAATTCTTTGGCACCGATCCATGGTCTCTACAATTTGCCGTTAAATTTTATCCTCCAGAACCCTCACAATTGCAAGAGGATATCACCCGTTATCATTTGTGTTTACAAGTTCGTAATGATATCTTGGAGGGTCGTCTACCATGTACCTTTGTTACACACGCCTTGTTGGGTTCATATTTGGTGCAATCGGAAATGGGTGATTATGATCCCAAGGAAATGTCCGATCGTAGCTATTTGAAAGATTTTAAAATAGCACCAAATCAAACAACGGAACTGGAGGATAAGGTGATGGATTTACATAAAACGCACAGGTGGGTGAGGAAGGAGAGAGAGAGAGAGGAGAAAATCATAAAACTATAATAAGCTCATCGGAGATGACTTTTCCTGAAGAAAAGTTCATCGGAGATGACTTTTCTTATAGAAAAGTTCTTCGGATATGATATTTCATATAGAAAAGGTTATCGGAGATGACTTTTCATATAGAAAAGTTCATCCGAGATGACTTTTCATATAGAAAAGTTCATCGGAGATGACTATAGGAAAGTTCATCGGTGATGACTTTTCATATAGAAAAGTTCATCGAAGATGACTTTTCCTATAGAAAAGTTCATCGAAGATGACTTTTCCTATAGAAAAGTTCATCGAAGATGACTTTTCCTATAGAAAAGTTCATCGAAGATGACTTTTCCTATAGAAATGTTCATCGGAGATGACTTTTCCTATAGAAAAGTTCATCGGAGATGACTTTACCTAAAGAAAAGTTCATCGGAGATGACTTTTCTTATAGAAAAGTTCATCGGAGATAACTTTTCTTATAGAAAAGTTCATCGGAGATAACTTTTCTTATAGAAAAGTTCATCGGAGATAACTTTTCTTATAGAAAAGTTCATCGGAGATAACTTTTCTTATAGAAAAGTTCATCGGAGATGACTTTTCCTACAGAAATGTTCATCGGAGATGACTTTTTTTACATAAAAGTTCATTGGAGATTACTTTTTTTACATAAAAGTTCATCGGAGATGACTTTTTTTACATAAAAGTTCATCGGAGATGACTTTTTCTATAGAAAAGTTCATCGGAGATGACTTTTTCTATAGAGAAGTTCATCGGAGATGATTTTTCTTATAGAAAATTTCATCGGAGATAAGTTTTCCTATAGAAAAGTTCATCGGAGATGACTTTTCCTACACAAAATTTCATCATTTGAGATGATTTTTCATCGGATATGCCTTTTCCTGTAGAAAAGTTCATCGAAGATCACTTTTCCCATAGAAAGTCCTTTGGAGATGGCTGTAGGCATCCTCTTTTTTTTAAATGTCTCTATTAATCAATTCGTTCCCTCCTTGCAGAGGTCAATCGCCAGCTGAAGCTGAACTACATTACCTGGAAAATGCCAAGAAATTGGCCATGTATGGTGTTGACTTGCATCCAGCCAAGGATTCTGAGGGTGTGGATATTATGTTGGGCGTTTGTGCCTCCGGTCTATTGGTCTACAGAGACAAGTGAGTATAATTAAAAGCAATTTCCAATTTTTGAAAAAAAAAATTAAATTTCTCCCTACTCTATTTTACAGATTGCGCATCAATCGTTTTGCCTGGCCCAAGATTTTGAAAATCTCCTATAAACGTCATCATTTCTACATCAAGATACGTCCCGGCGAGTTTGAACAACACGAGGTTACCATCGGTTTTAAATTGGCCAATCATCGGGCTGCCAAGAAGCTATGGAAATCATGTGTAGAACATCATACCTTCTTCCGTTTGATGACACCCGAACCACCAAATAAGTCGAGTTTGTTCCCAAGATTTGGTTCGAAATATCGTTACTCGGGAAGGACAATGTATGAGAGTCGCAAAAATCCCGTCGATCGTGATGCACCCAAGTTTGATAGGAGTTTGTCGGGACGCCGCCTGACCTCTAGATCAATGGATGGTAATGTGGAATACATTTTAAGAAGGAATTTTTGATTAATTAATTATATTTTGTTCTGGAAATTAGCTTTGGCCTTGGCCGAAAAGGAGAAAGATGCCCAAAAACGTCACACCATGGGCCATCCACCAGAGCACATACCCGATGTGGATCCACCACGTAGTCGCAGTCCATTGAAGAAGGACAAAAAGGATAAGGTAAGTTCCAAGGGTCTTCTATTATGATTTTAAACTAACATCTAAGTGAAAGTAATGTTTCCAAGTTCCATTATTTTATTTTTCTGTTTTGTAATAACAACAACAAAAACTTAACAAATGGAAATCATTGATTTCTTTTCTTTATCCCCATTTTTGGTTCTAAAATATGTTTCTTTACTTTTCAAAACTAAACGGTTTGTTTGACTGACTACTAACATTATGTGGTCCCTACTTGACCCTTAATATCCCACTTTTTGGTTCTTATGTTTAAAATTCCTTTTTTAATTTAAAATAATTTCTCCCTGCACTTACACCAACCTCCAAAAAACCCCCTTTCTCATTCAAACTCCTGCCACAAATTCATTTACAACAAAATCTAACAAACAACACTAACACCAACAAACCATACAAAAATTACAACATAATCACATAAATATATACCATTTATATTTTTTCTTTCTCTTCTGCTCTACTCCTCTTTTTGGAAAAAATACAAAAATTAATAAAAAATACAAATCATCAACAACATCCTTAAATCCTTTTTGCCTGGCTACTACCAACAACACATCACCATACCAACTACTATTAATAATTACTACCACACACCACCCATACAACCACGTTACACACACATATATACTCTGTGCCAAATGATCTTCCAATTTTTATCTCAACCTACCATCATCCATGATCTTGTGTTGTATGTGTATGTACGTATGTATCTGAAAAAAAAACTTCTATAGTTGATACGTGAATCTAGCACTGGTACTGCTTCGGCTTCTTCGCAGAGTTCCCTAGAAGGTGATTACGAGACAAATACCGGTGCTGCGGCCGATGCTGCCTCAGCAGCAGCCGCCTTTGTGGGCCATGATCAGGTTAACATTTTTAGCAAAACAAGTTTTTCTTTCTCTTAGTTTTTTTGTTTTAGTTTTCTTTTCTCTTTCTCCTTGTATACTCTTAATCGAAAAAAAAACGTAATATTGTTTTGTTTTTCTTTCTTCTTCCCCCTCGATTTTTCAAATGACACCAACCTGTATTTCCACTACACCATCTACAACACCACAATCACTACTGTTACTACTACTGCTATATACAATCTTTTTCCTTCTTGATTCTGAAATCTTTGTAATATTTTTTTAATTGCTTTTGGGTATTTATTTCATTTTTCATTTCCTTAGTATTACTTTGTACGGGTCCTTTTAGTTTCACTTTGTAATTTCTATTTGTTGTCTAAGCTTCAAGCTTTTTTATGTTTGTAGTAGTTTATGATTTTTTAGTTCCGTAATGCTTAAAATTGGTTAAATCAATTTCCATTCCGATGAACATTCCTATAAGAAAATTCATCATCAATAAACGTTTCTATAAAAAAGTCATCCGTGATGAGTTTTCCTATTAGAAACGTCATCATGATAGTTTTTCGCTGATGAGTTTTGCTGTAAGAAGCTTCATTGTCGATGAACTTTCCTATAGGAAAAGTCATAATCGATGAAGCTTCCAATAGAAAAGTTTTTGTCTATTTAGGAAAAGTCATCGTTGATGAAGTTTCCAATAGGAAAAGTAATCTTCGATTAAGTTTCCAAAGGAAAAGTGATCGTCAATGAAATTATCTTCGGGAATGGTAATCGTCTATGAAATTTCACATTGGAAAAGTCATCGTTGAGGAGCTTTTCTATATTAAAACTCATATCCTTTTGGGAAAAATCATCTCTGATGAACTTAACTATGGAAAGTCATCTCCGAAGAACATTTCTTCTTTTCACCTCAGATGAACTTTTTTATACCCAAAGATGAACTTTTCTATAAGATAAGTTATTTCAGACAAATTTTTCTGTAGGAAAAGTAAACTCCGATGAAATTTTTTTTTAGTAAAATTCTTCTCCGATGAACTTTCTTATAGGATATTCCAATTACAAAAGTCAAAAGTTGATGAATTTTCTCATACAAAAATGTATTCATGATAAACTTTCCAATAGGAATATTCATTGTCTAAGAACTTTCCTATAGGAAAAGTCATCTCCGATGATCTTTTCTATAGGAAAAGTTATCACAGTTGAACTTTTCTATAAGAAAAGTCATCTTAATTGAACTTTCGTATAAGAAAATATTTATTTTCTTAATATTTTAGTGGATCCGTTGAAAGTAATATAAATACAGAAGACCTGAAGAAGTTCCTTTAGTCTGTTCCTCTTTAAAAGATATTTTCTATAGGATAAGTTATCACCAATGAGATTTTCTATAGGAAAAAGTTTCCTCTGATGAACTTTTCTATGGGAAATGTAACCTCCGCTGAACTTTCGCATAAGAAAATTTATCGCAATTGAACTTTCCTATATGAAAAGTCATCGCAAGTGAACATTCCTATAAGAAAACTCATCTAAGATGAGCTTTCCTATTAGAAAACCATTAACAACGATTATTTTATAAAAAGGATGATGAACTTTTGATAAAAAATATTGTCCCATGAATTTTCTAATTGGAATAATATCTTGTATTAATTTTTTACTGATGTCTCTCATTCTCTGATTACTCTCTCCAGTTGTTAGTTTTTCTCTTTAGTTTCTCGTAATTCTTTTTTAGTTATGGTTTCGATATTGCAAAATTTTTTTATTTGGTTATTTATACTTTTAAAAAATATTTAAAGAAAATACTTAACGTTTTTAAGCGTTTCCATTGATATTTTAATATTTCGGTATTTTAAATTATTTGTTTTCAAATTGTCTGTGTTTTGACCATATATTATGTCTAAATGTTATTTGTTTTTATAAAAAAAAAATCTGAATGTGAACAGTATTGTATTAAAATTGATGTCTTAAATTCAGCATTATAATTGAAAATAGAAGATTTTTATTGTTATAAAATCCAGAAGAAAATATATTTTCTTGGGACAACAAATTTGGTTCTCCTTTGGTCCATTGTTTAATGGATTTTCTAGTCCTGTTTATTTCCTGATTAAGTGATGATTTATTTTTTATAAAATAATTCAAATATATTTGGAAATGCGTTATTTTGCCGTTTTGGTCGTGTTTATCTCTCTTAAAGGCTTTAGTTTTCTAAAGTCACTAGAAGCGAACCTTTTTCAAATTAAATTCCATAAATTTTTAGGAAAATCATAAATTATTCAGTTTATGTGTACTTTCCCGCCTAAAAGTATGCTTTAAAATAATGTAAATTTGGTTTGGTATTAAACCCTTAAACCGCCTTTAGACTATGTCAATTACATATTAAGAAATTCCTATACATAAATTCAGTGGCTTTTATTTGGCATAGGATATCGAGTGAATTTCGTATATATTAAGGTCTATTAATAAGGTCAACTAGAACGCGAAAAATCTTAATGTCAAAAATTTGGATGGTTTTTGACAGAATTTTGACTACATGCTTGAGAAACAAATTTTAACCTTTGAATGATCTGATAAACAGGCCCATTAATAAGATCATTCATAACGTACATGTACTTTGTAGAGGTACTTATTTCTCCTGAACATAGGCTTATGGATTTTGTGAACGGCAATTTTGTATCGACAAATCAGTAATGAAGTAATTAATTAAAAATTATTTTTTGGGTCCATTATTCTGTGTGCTTTGATTTTAATACAATGCTGCTCCATGTTTTTTTTTTTTTAATTTCTCTTTTTGTAAATATTTTCTCTCCACAAAAAACACACACACCAACTCCATATTAATTTTTATATAATTTTCGTATTTTAAAAAAAATATATATAAATTTTACAAATATTACCTTGTTATCTGTAACCCTTTCTTCTATATCATATCGTGCCTTTTTCTCCATACCTCTAGGATTTGTGTGAAATGTAATTCCCATGTGTATAATTGGCTAAACAAAGTGTTTAAAAGTGTGAAAATATTCCTGGCAAAAATTTTAACCAACATCCACACCCACTATGACATAACACCACCACTACCACAATATATCCACTCTTCCAGAATATATATCTGTCGCAACCTCTCACCCCAAGCAAAACAGCCTTTCAGAAAAAAGAAACATTTCCCCACATATATTTCATCTATACACACAAATCATCATCACTCTGTAAAAAAAATTGACACACACAAATCCCAGTTGCAGTATTATCTATTAATGTATTGTTTACTTTTCTATATATAAAATATAATAATAATTTATGTTTAATTTATTACTGAAGAGAAGGGGGTTTCGATATAAAAGAAGCTTTGAAGCAGGAATGTAGAAAAAAATATTTTTCTAATTCGGTCTAGAAATTTTAATAAGCATTTCTGATATTGATTTTTAGTAAGTTTTAATGGGTATTTCTATGTGGCGCCCAACGTGAGTTTTTTTACTAATATTTCTAAAAAATATTATGTATTTATTTCAACTACTGACACTAAAGAGTGATTTGTTAAGAGCTTGATAACTTTTTAAAAAAAAAAAAAAACGCATAAAATTTGCAAAATCTCATCGGTTCTTTATTTGAAACGTTAGATTGGTCCATGACATTTACTTTTTGAAGATAATTTCATTTAAATGTTGACCGCGGCTGCGTCTTAGGTGGTCCATTCGGAAATTTTGCTTATTTACGTAGCCATTCAACCAGAAATGAGCCTAGACCATAAATCGGACGTAAAGCGCGAAACACATTTCGAACCGAACACTGATTTTGGTAATAAAATTCAATGATTTGCAAGCGTTGCTCGTTAGTAAGTCTATGATGAAATGTCAAAGCATACTGAGCATCTTTCTCTTTGACACCATGTCTGAAATCCCACGTGATCTGTCAAATACTAATGCATGAAAATTCTAACATCAAAAAAATCACCCTTTACTTAAGTGGAGCTCAACTGAATTCCGGCTATTATCTTGCCAATATTAATTTGCAAGAGATTATTAGTGGGATTTTGTAAAGTGGCGCCCAACGTGAACAATGCCTGAATAAGGGATCTATATTTTTTTTTGATATTTTTGATGCTAATTTTCAACAAAAGGTGACTAAAAACTAACCCCAATTTTCAAAATTTAACTCAAATAGGTTTTGGGTTCCATAGAAGAGATTTTGTTAAAGAACTCAAGAAAATCTATAGAAATAGTTTATATAGAAGATCTTGTTGAACAAAATACTGTCCAAAATACAATTCGACTATTATCTTTCCTATATAAATTTAAGAGTTTATTAACGTTAATTTTAAAGTGGCGCCCAATGAAGGAAAATTTCTATATTTGTAAGAAATAATTTGGCGACATTGGAATGCAGATGGCGCCCAATGCAAACCCAACCCTCTTTTCGAATTTTAATTCCGGATGTAAAAAGGGATATTTATCAATTATCTTTTAAAAATTCAAATGGCGCCCAACGTGTTGGTAATATGGGATAAGCTATTTTAGTTGGGTTAGACCTTTAATTTAAAATCAAAATATGTTGTTTTTGTTTATCTAACCAACATTTATTAATGGGGGCATAAGTGGCGCCCAATATCAAATCGGGTAAGGCCTATCTACATGCTTAAATATAAACTCAGAGTACGCATATGAATTAATTCGGGGTTTTTATAACCATTCATAGTAATTTCTTGTTTTCAAGCCCTGCTTCAAAGCCAAAATATCTTAACCTCTCTTCTCTCTCTCTTTGTTATGTCTGTCTCTCAAAAAAGCTTTTAGTTTTGCCATAATCTATTTAAAAAAGATCATAAATAAAAAATAAAATAATCTTAACTATGTTTGTCTTTCATGTTTCCATATTTGTTTCCATGTAAAAGCTGTGCCATGCATGCTTAAAGCTTTTTTGTTCTATTCTTCTAAGTTTATTTCAAATAATATATATTGCAGCTTGCAAATTAAAATGCCTTTTTAAGTAGAGCTTTTGTATAATTTTTGTTTTTTATAATAAATTTATATTTCAAAAAACCATATAAAGGCTGCCGCTGAAGCTGAAAAGGAAGCTAAATTGCGTGAAAAGAAACTCAAAGAACAAGAGGAAAAGGAACGCAAGGAGCGTGAAAAGAAGGAAAAGGAAGCCAAGGAGAAGGCTACCAAAGAAAAGGCAGCCAAGGAGAAGGCTGAAAAGGCAGGTGCTGGAATGAATGGTAAGGGATTGTCTGGAAAAACAAATTTTAAGAATTGGTAAAGAATACTTTCTTCTTTCTCTTTAGGCAATGATGATTTGGATGATTCTCAGCGTGCCGGCAAGCAAAGGGTAAGTTGTATATAGGATATAAAGATATGTGTGTATATACCCTCATGAAAATTAAATTAAATATGCGAATAAGATTTTAAATGGCTATATATGTGTGTACCCCGTGTATACCCATTTGTCCACTTGTCCGTCCTCATGCACAAAACGTTGGCATGTTTAACCCCTCTCATGTACAGTTGATGGTAATCCTGGAATGATGTTTAAATTTGTATGTTATAAGTTAATTTTTTTAATTCCTATTTTATTGTAGATTTTTTTTATATTTAGTTTTTATGATTTTTGTTTTTGTTTTTGTTTTTTTTTATGAAAAACAAAATACAAATGTTATCCCAAATAAACCGCCAACACTACTGAAAACTATTTAAAATGTATACAAAATCAGAATCATAATCTAATATAAATTTGGAAAGAAAAGATCGTCCGAAGTAACTCTTTCTATCCGTTCAAAAAACTACCTCCTGATTATCTATATACCCATCCCCGAGAACCTTTAAACTTACACCATTATGGTCTCTTTGGAAATTGAAGCAGACCCTCAGCTGATTGTTTAGAAATATTATTTCAAATCGCTTAGAAAATACAATCCTGCAGCACAAAAATTCCTTTTGAGCATCTCAAAGTATCCACATATGATTAACTCGTCTGTAGGGTGAGTCAACGAAAAGGTTACAAAAAATCTGACTGTCCAAAAACAGATGTCTACGAAAGACTCGCAGCCTTTCATGCAGATCATCTATAAAAATTCCCTATCACCTTAGCGTTCATACAACGATTTTCTGACCTTTCACTTTCTTTTATTTTCGAATATTTAAAATTTGTACATAGTCGGATTTCTTTTAGTCCATGTGGCGCCCAACGCGACTTGCATTAATTTATTCATTACAAATCCGATATATTCCTTATGAAAATTTGGAAACTTCAAGTTTCAATTTCATTTTTGTCAAGGTGGCGCCCAAGGTGACCATAATTTTTACCACACTTGTAAAAGTCTAGCGTTCATACAACGATTTTCTGGCCTTTCACCTCATCAGTATAAACTGGCTGTTACCTTAAGCAAATCGAAAGCTATACAGGTCTTAGGTTACAGGGCATTTCTTTCTAAAATAGACTTTAACTGGAAGTTATTTTATATTTCAAATATTAAAATCCAGAATTTTTTCGTCTGATTTGTTTTAGTCGATGTGGCGCCCAACGCGACTTGCATTAATTTATTCATTACAAATCCGATATATATTCTTTATGAAAATATGGAAAATTCAAGTTTCAATTTAATTTTTGTCAAAGCCAAACCATAATTTTTTCCACACTTGTAAAAGTCTAGATAAGGCTTCCTAATATTTAAAATTTTTACGCCCATCGCAACATATTAAAATCAAGACTTTATTTTCGAATATTTAAAATTTTTAAAGAGTCTGATATGTTTTTTTTTGTCAAAGTGGCGCCCAACGTGACTATTATTTTTTCCAAAACTTGTAAAAATCAACATAATATTTTAAATTTTACGCCCAACGCAACATATTAAAATCAAGACTTTATTTTCTAATATTTAAAATTTTTACAGAGTCTGATTTGTTTTAGTCGATGTGGCGCCCAACGCGACATGCTTTAAAATCCGATACAATCCGATATATATTTCTTATGGACATATGGAAACTTAATGTTTCAATCAACATAATTATTTTCTTTAGAAAAACGTTATTTCTTTTCTATGGATCCATTAGAAATATTAGGTTGTTAATTTTCGTCTAAATGGCGCCCAACGTGACTAATATTAATGTCCTCTCTGTTATTTCTATATTAGACTTCAGTAAGTGAAGTGGCGCCCAATGAGACATTAATTTCTTCTTTAGAAAACTGCTATGTTCCCTATGAAAACCCATTGGAAAGATCTGTAAGTTAATTTTAATCTTGCTAGCGCCCAACTGGTCTATTAATTTCCGTACTTTTAAATCTCTACAAAAGGCTTTAATCAGTGTGACTTCAAAGTCCAAAACATTTGTTTATAAATATTTCTCCACAGACGTAATTTTTTGAATATTTGAATTTTTACAATGTTACAAATTCCATGTGGCGCTCAACGCGACTAAAGTCAAGTGACGCCCAACACTGTATTCCATATAGAAACCCTTTAGAAAGGTCTGTTAGTTCATTATAGTCTAGGTGGCGCCCAACGATTACTTATGTCGAAGACCCTTAGAAGCTCCATGAGGATCCGGGTCAAGGTTTTTGATAAATTTTAATTGGCGCCCAACGTGGCCAAGATAAATTATGTCCAATAAAAGAACTCGTGGCAAAAATGCATTAGATTTTTTTATGAAACAGAAGCCCTTTAAATATCTACATTTCGATTATTCCCGTTATCGAACTCAAATGGCGCCCAACGTGTTGAATAATAAATCACTGAATCACGCTATAATACAAATGATATTATGTCCCAGAATTTTTATATTGCTATATATAAATTGCAATCAAGTGGCGCCCAACGTGGCACTATCTAATAATCTCAATTGACGCACTGCGTATTGGAAAAATATTTAATATGTATTTATGATTTTAAATGACTTTTGTGTAACTCCTTATTTTAAACTCCTCTGTGCAAAAATAACCCTTAGGCCAGAATCTATTCAACCTTTTATTTTATAATTGTTTTTATTACTTATAATTGTTTTTATTTAATTTTCTTTTTGTTAATTTTTATTTATTTTTCTTTTTATTTCATTTTAATTTTTTCATTTCAAATCGTCATCATCATCCGCAATGGATTATTTGAATACTCAGGGAGGTGGTTTATTCTCTTCGGGTCGCAAGAGCAAAGGTGGTTCACCAGCCAAGGATGGCAAAGACAAATCCGCTGCTGGTAAGGATAAGGATGGCAAAGATAAATCCGGCAAGGATAAAGATGGTAAAGACAAGAAGCTGGGTCAATTGGAATTGGTTAGCACCACTGGTCTCGGAGGCAAAGATGGTGCTGCGGACAACAAGGATCAAGGTGATAAATCACGTGATTCCAAATCACCTGGCTTCACCAAGCCCTATGAATACACCGATGGTGATGGTGAAACAAGTCCAACACGTAAATCTTATGTACCTGGTGGTTTCCGTTATGATCAAGATCCTAGCGGCGCTCAGCGTGGTCGTGACGGACAAGATCAGCTGTCTCCAACATCTCAGCAAAAGAAAATCGGTTTGGCATTCAATTACGCCCCTGGCAACGAGGAGGATTTGAAGAAACAGGCTGAGAAATTGAAATCGGGACAATTGTCACCACGTACACGTGAAAAGTTGAACAAGGGTCAACTGTCACCACGCACAAAGGCCAAGCTATTGAAGGAGGCCAATTTGTCGCCGACCACAAGAGCTAAGTTGCAGGGTAGTGCTGTTGATGCTGCTGCCCAACCATTGAGTGATGCCCAAAAGAGATCGTATTCTCCATCGAAGAGCCCAACTCAGGGTTACACATCGGGAGCTCCTGGTAGCTATAAACCATTGGTTGATCCTACATTGGCATTTTTGGAATCGGAGAGATATAATAAGGAAAAGGGTTATACCGGTCCCGATGGTAAAGATGTGAGAGCTGCTGCTGCCGGTGCTGGTGCTCTTGCAGGTGCTGCTGGCGCTGCCGGTAAAGATGGCCGTGGAACCCCAGCTTCTCCCAAGGCTGGCGGCAAAACACCCACCACACCAGTTTCACCTTCCAAGGCTGGTGCTGGTTTGGCCGGTGCTGCTGCCGGAGCTGCTGCTGGTAAACCCAAAAAGAAGCGTGTCAAGATTATGGTCATCACCTCCAAATTCGATCCCACCAACAAACGTATTGATGCCGAAACTGGCACCGTGGAACACTCAACCGGCATTTTAGATCCCAACACTGGCCTTATTGATACCAAATATGGTGTTATTGATCCCAAGAAGGGTACCCTGCAGGCTCTGAATACCAAGACTGGCAAAAATGAAACCTATCAAGGTGAAGTTGATCCCAAGACCGGCAATTTGCATTTGGTTAATGGTGTTGCTGATCCAGCTACGGGACGTGTCGATGATTCCTTGGGTCAAATCTTTGCCATTACACCTCAAGATGACCCCGTTGTTGAGTTGACCGTCATTACCAGCCGCATTGATCCTGCCACTGGCAAGGTTGATGCTGTCAACGGTGAAGTTGAACGCTCCTTGGGTGTTTTGAATATGGATAGCGGACTTTTGGACACCAAATATGGTGAAATTAATACCAGAACTGGAGAATTGAAGGCCATCGATCCCAAGACCGGTAAAATGGTTGTATCGAAGAATTTGAAGGTTGACCCCGGCACCGGACAAATTACCATTTTCGGTGTTATGGATACCAAGACCGGCAAAATCGATCAAAACCAAGGACGCATTATTGAGGTTGGCCAACAAATCGATCCCATTGTTGAGGTCACCTCTTTGGCAGGCAAATATGATTCCAAGAAGAATGTTATCGATCCCAAGACTGCCTTTGTTGAGACATCGGGTGGTCAATTCGATCCCAAGGCCGGTAAAATCGATACCAAGTATGGACAAATTGATTTGGTGCGCCACACTATTACCTTCACCGATCCCAAATCGGGTAAGACGGTGACGCGTGACATTAAAATCGATCCCACCACTGGACAAATTGTACTCAAAAATCAAATCAATCCCAAGAACAATAAACCCGATAAGGATTATGCCCGCATTATTTCTCTGCGTATTGTCCAACAACGTGTTGATCCCAAGACCAAGGCACCCATCAGTCAGGTCAGCTCGGCCAAGGATAAGGAAATCATCATCGATCCCAAATCCAATCAAATTTGGATGCCAACTGGTGCTGTCGATCCCAACACCAAAGAACCCCAATACATTTCCAGCAGTGTCGATCCCAAGACCGGTTATGTCATCACCATCTATGGTTATCTCAATCCCAAGACCAATGAAATCAAGAAACAAACCAAATTGGATCCCAATACCACAAAGATTGAACCCACCTCCGGAAAGATTTACACAGCCACCGGTGATGTTGACCCCACCACTGGTGAACCACTTTATGCTGCCACCCAAGTTGATCCTGAATCCGGCGAAGTCTACACCAAATTGGCTCGCGTCGATCCCAAGACAGGCAAAATTGTTATTGTTCGTATTTTGCTTATCTCAAAGGTTGATGAGCGTGGACGTCCCGAAGAAATCGACCCAGAGACATGTGAAATTGATCCTGTCTCTGGACGTGTTCTCAAGTTCTTTAACAAAACCGTTTATGTTTATAATATGATTGACCCCATTACTGGTGAAATTATACAGGTTGATCCCAATGATCCACGATTTGCTGGTGCTCGTACCACGGTGACCCACACGATGACATTGACTGGAGAAATTGATCCCGTCACCGGACGCATTAAGAGTGAATATGGTCACATTGATCCCAATACTGGTGATATTGATCCTGCCACCGCAATTAAAGATCCCGTTACCGGAAAATTGATTTTAAATTATGCCCAAATTGATCCATCCCATTTCGGTAAACAAGCTCAAGTTAGTACCACAACAGAAACAGTACCCATTACTCGGGAACAATTCTTTGATGGTGTTAAACATATGGGTAAAAATGCATTGAGACGTGATTCGGAGGCAAGTTCCGATGATGATATGACTGGTCAATATGAAACGGAAATTGTTAAAGATGTCGCTATGCCCTCAAGTCCAAAGAAGAGTGCAACCTATAATTTGGGTAAACATGTCAGCACCCCAACGGTGGTGAAGACAACCACCAAGCAAGTATTGACGAAAAATGATGATGGTGTAACGCATAATGTGGAGGAGGAGGTGCGCAATTTGGGTACTGGCGAGGTCACGTATTCTACACAGGAACACAAGGTGGGTAGATAAAAATATGAATTTGGAAAATTTTTATAAAATTAAAAATAGTTTTATGTTCATAACACTATTAAGAAGCTTTTCGTTTAGTAGGCTTATTCGCTAACGAACTTGGTTATAAGGAGGTATCAAGGACCCACCTGGAGGTGTCAAAGACCCATCTGGCATCTTATACGAATTACCGGTTATCAATTAGAATCCAAAGTTACCAATTGATCCAAATCCAAGTAAAACTTTTTCTCGTGATACAAAAAATGGTTCCATTAGTCCTTATAACCAAGTTCGCCGCCGATTTTATATTTAGTTCAAACATCTATTATACATAAGCAGTTTTTTTAAATTTATTTTTTGAATTTTGTTTTTGGAATTTTTGATTTTTGCCCAGCATGTTTTGTTTCTAGAAGTTTGCTTGGAACCCTGCCCATTTTCTTTTTTATGTATTTTTGAAGCAAATTATAAATTTTAGATCATAAGACCCTTTTTGTTCATTAAGTATCTATCCCGTCTATCTTCGGGTTATTTATAAAACGCTATCTAACTGAGACTTTTCCCAGTCGCCTCATAGACCATCAGGTCTATAAATATATCTGAATATCTAACTGTCCCAAAAGGCTTTTCCCAGCCGCCTCATAGACCAACCAATCAAATTGTCTGCCTATGAAGATAAAAATGCCTTCCCGCCTAAAAACCCACCCTTTTGACCTTCCTAAAGTGGATAATTGAGAGACCATCGATCCCAAGAGCGGTAAAATGTTTCTTTCGAAGAATTTGAAGATTGGCCCCGGTACCGGCCAAATTACCAGTTTTGGTGTTATGTATCCAAAGACTGAGAAAATCGATCAAAACCAGGGTCGCATTAAAGAGCTTGGCCAAAAAATGTGACCCATTGTTGAGGTTACCTTTTTGGCAGGCAAATATCATTCCAAAAAAATATTATTCGAGATTGTCTATGTAGAGACATTCAATCCTACGGCTAGTAAAATTGCTATGGATTCAAACTCAAAACCAGGGTCGCATTATTGAGGTTGGCCAACAAATTAGACCCATTGTTTAGGTTTTGTGAGATTTTATCGTAATGCTGGTCCTTTTTTGTTCAGTAAGAGCATTCACTTTGCCTCTTCAGCCCCTCTTTTGGCTTTCTATAAAGGCTTTCCTTTGATCTCCTATAAATATTCTGAACTTTTAGATCGTCTGTATAGATACACTTAAATTTCAGAACGTCTCAACAACGTTTGCATGACAATTTTCATAGTCTCAGTAGACTGATTTTCTCACAACAATTGATTGAGATTCGGAGGACCTTCGTTAGCATCTTCTTTTCACTCCATCCATAAAACTGCCTTCAGCTAAATTTAAGTTGTCTACCCAATGGGTCTTTGAAAAAAAACAGCCTTCTGATCATCTAAAAAGGGTTCCCTTAAATATGAAGGTCCTTTAGATCGTCTGTATAGATTTACTCAACCTTCAGGACATCTTAACAAGCTCCCTGACATTTTATATTTCCCCTATGGACTCACTGGCCCATTAACTTCTCTCTATGGCCTTACAGTTACAAACTTTCACACGCTTTTGCTCCTCTATATAGAATGCCTTCTCCCTTAAGCATTCTAACATCCCTGGTCGTATATCTCTTCTCTATACAGGCTCTAAGGCGCTTCAGATCCTCTCATAGATCGCCCTCAGTCTGAGAAATACTTATCTCAGCTTTCTAAAATTCTTTAAAAAGACTATTTAGCTCGTCTATGAAGTCACCCTTCAGCTCATCTGTAAGGACACAATTCAGCTGTTCAGCTATAAATACACTCACTTCTAATGGCCTTCAGCTCGTATATATGAAGCTCACTTCTGTTCGCCCGTTTAGACTCTTTTCTGGTTTTCCATAAATTCTTCCTTCGGGTCTGCAAAAATGCTTCCCTTCTAGTGGGCTATAAAAACCACCTTCAGCTCGTTTATAAAAAGTTTTTCGGCTCCGCTATAAAGACATCCTTCAGCTCTTCTATAAAACAACTCTACACCGACTCACTTCTGGTCGACCGTTAAGATTCCTTTCTAATTTTACATAAATGTAAAAAATGCGATTCAGCTCGTCCATACTGGTTTCTTCTTGTCGTCTGTAAAATCTCCCATTGATCGTTTATAGAAAACCACCTTCTGGTCTTCTATTAAAACTCCTTATGGTCTCCTATAAATGACCTCCAGGTCATTAAAAAGTCCCACTCAATTTACTGAAAATCTAAAATAAAGACTTCATTTTGAGTCGTCTGATAACTCAGAAAACTTCAGCTCTGATACCGACCCTTCACCTTGTCAGCATGAACTGCCAGGTACTTTAGTTCGCCTATAAAGACTCCATGGCCTTTCTGTTCATCTAGATAGGCTCGTAGGCATTCTTTGAAGATTTGCTTCTGATTGTCTATGTCTAAAAACCCTTGTGTAAAGTTTGTTTGTCTGTGAAGACTTCCTTCAGAATTCGACTATGAGTGACTCTATTCGAAGCTCGTCGATGAAAGACTCATTTCAAAGTCCCTCTATGAAAGATTCTCTTCAGACTTCGTCTATGAAAGCCTTGCTTCAGTGCACGTTTATAAAAGACTCCCCACAGAGCTCGTCTATGAAAGACTCCCTTCAGAGCTCGAATACGAAAGACTCCCTTTAGACCTCGTCTATGAAGGACTCCCTTCAGAGCTCGTCTATGAAAGACTCGTTTCAGAGCTCGACTATGACAAATTCTCTTCATTCAGCTCGTCTATGACAAATTCTCTTCATTCAGCTCGTCTATGAGGGCTTCGATCGAGTCGTTTAAAAAGACTATCATCAGCTCATCATTCAGACCTCTTTTATCTCACCTAAGGAGTACACCTTCATTTTTCTGAGGATTTTCAGGGTGCTCTTAGGGTTAGAAGAAAAGCTTTCAATTATCGTGCTTATTGAATAATCTATTCATTGTTTATAGTATTGAAAACTTACCCTTAATAACTTATATAACCTAAATATTTATTTTTTTAACCCACATATTTATTTTTGTTTCTGTTTTCTTTACCTTTTCATGTCCTTGTTCTAAACACCCAATCCTTCTAATATCATAATTTTTGTTTTAAATATTTAATATGTTTATGACACATAATTATACTTTCCAATAATGTTCTGACAATGCTGCACGTTGCACTAAAAACCAACAAAATTATCACAACCCCCAACCGAATTGGCCATACCCTCAAAAATCAAAAACACCAAATATCCAAACTCCCAGGCTGATGCCCCAGCTGTTGATTTGACAAGTGGTGCTTATGTTACTGCCACAGCAGTAACAACACGCACAGCCACCACACACGAAGATTTGGGCAAAAAGGCCAAAACCGAACAATTGGAAGAGAAAACAGTGGCCACGACACGAACCCATGATCCGAATAAACAAGAACAACGAGTAGTAACACAGGAAGTAAAGACAACGGCAACAGTGACAAGTGGAGATCAGGTAAGCTATGAAGCCCCAAAAAAAATTTGGCCCCGTCCTAGACATACCAGGCATGTCTAGACATACCAGGAAGCATGACTGATTGTTTTTTGTTTAATATTTTTTTGTTATTGTTTTTATTAATTTATAATTTTAATGCCTGTTCTCTATTTTTTTATGTTATGTTCTTTTTATGTTTGTTGTAATAATTGTTGTTGTTGTGTGATGTGTTATGCTTGATTTGATGCAACCCCCAAAAACAAACAAATCAAACAGTATCCCCGACGTGATAGTATTTCATCAACAAGTTCAGGCGATTCGGGTACACCAATTGATGGTCCCGATGATGGTTCAACGGCAATACATAGTACCACATCATATAAGGTTTGTTCTATGCAAATTTAACTTGGCAACTACTCAACATGCACCATTATGTTTTTAAAATAAAATGCAATATTTATTTTGTAATAATTAGTGAAAATCACATTTCATTGTTTTTAAACTAACCTCAAATTGGAATTTATTTTCTTGTGGAATTTTAAGTAATTTTATTTTTTTTTTCTTTCCCCTATAGGAATCTCCATTGTATAAAACATCCGCCTTTAATAATGCCACTACCACAACAACCAGCCCACACATTGAACAGACCCGCGTCATTTTAGGTGAAAACTCACCCGGCTATGGCGGCGAAGGCGAAATTGTCTCCACCCAAACTGTTAGCAGCAAAACTCGTACCGTCGAAACGATAACAGTAAGTTTCAAATGGGTTCACGGAGGAAAAAAGATTTTGAAACATTTTTTTATAAATTATAAATTAATTAAGAATTTATTTTAAGTCTCGAAAAATATTTTGTAAATAGTAGAATTTGTATCGTGTCTATGTATATGTTCTTATCCAATTCAAAATTATGTAAATATTGTAAATATTCTCTTGAAACTTCTTACATCATTATGATCCGCTTCATCGCATATTTACATATCCCCACTGATCCACCTTCAGTTCGTATAAATTAAAATCATTAAGAAAGGCTTATAAGTTTGTCTATAAATACTCTCTTCCGGTGGTATTTAAGGACTATTCTAATGCTATATATTAAAACTCCCTAATGGTCATCTATTCAGGTAGTCTGCAAGACTCCTTTCTGATCGTCCATATAGACTCCTTTCTGCTCTTTTATAAAGACTTCCTTTTAGTCGTCTATAGATACACCCTTCTGGTCGTCTATAAGGACTTTTTTGATATCTTATAAATACTTCCATCCGCGTACACTCCTTTTGCGTCAAAAAAAAATTATTTTTGGTCGTCTATAATAAAGTGCTTCCAAAAAGTCTTCCTACTTGGCTGTAAAGATTCGATTATGCTCGTCTATAAAGACTGTCATCAGTACGTCTATAAAGTCCTAAGTACTTCTCATCTATAAAGACTGTCTTCAACTCGACCATAAAGATTCTGGTCTCATACAAAGACACTTCGTTTCGGTCATCAGAACGTCCATAAAACCTCAGTTTACCTTGTCTATCAAGTACTTTTTATATATAAAGACTGCTTTCAACTCACCCATAAAAATTCTGTCCTGATCGCCTATTAAAACTCCCTTTGGTCCCTTCATAAAGGCTTGCTTCTGGTCGTTCATAAAGACTTCCTTCAGGTCGTCTATGAAAGACTCCGTAATCGTCCGTAAGTACTACTTTCTGTTCGTCTATAAGGTCTTTTTTTGTCTGCCAAAAATACTTCCTTCCGGTCCTTGGATAGACTCCCTTCTAGGTTCACAAAGATTTATTTCTGGTTGACTATAAATATTTTTTTCTAGTCGTCTAGAAAGACTCCCTTCTGGTCGTCCATAAATACCCCCTTTTGGTCTTCCATAAATATTTCCTTATGGTCGTTGTAAAGTCCTCCATCTTCAGCTCGTCTATAAAAGACTCCCTTCAGGCTCGACTATAAAGACTCCCTTCTAGTCGCCTATAAAGACTCCTTGTGGTCGTCTATAAAGTTACCCTTCTGGTCTCCCATAAATACATCTTCTTGTGTCGTCTACAAAAACTCCCTCCTGGTCATCTATAAGAACTCCCTTCAGCTCATACTTCATAAAGATTCTTATTAGGTCGTCTATGAGGCTCACTTTTGTTCGACCTTCAGCTCGTCTAGGAGACTCCTTTCTTGTAAAAGGCACCCTTCTGGTCGTATAGAAAAACTTCCTTCTGATCGTTCATAAAGAATCAGAACTCGTCGTGCAGATTATTTTCTGGTCGACCATAATGATTTCCTCCTGGTCTCCTAAAACACTTCGGTTTGGCCATTTATGAGAATCCATTCTGGTCATCTAAAGACTCACTTTTGCCCGACGTTCAGATCATCTAGGAGACTCCCTTCTGGACGTCTGTGAGATTCCCTTCTGCTGGTATATAAAGACTACCTTCTGGTCGCCCATAAAGATTTCTTCCTGGTCGACCGTAAAGATTGCTTTTTGATATCCTAAAAACACTTCGGATGGGTTGTCTTTGAGGCTCTCTTCAGCTCGTCTAGGAGACGTTTATGAGACTACATTCTGGTCGTCCAAAAAGATTTCCTTCAGTTCATCTACGAAAGGCTCGCTGCTTCACCTCGTCTAAGAAAGACTCCTTTCAGGCTGCTCCACGAAAGACTCCTTTTAGCCTCTTCTATGAAGGTCTCCCTTCAAGCTCTTCTTCAGACGACCATAAAATACACCTAAATTTCCTTCTTAGCTGGTCTATAAAATAACCATTCAGCAGGTCTATGACGAACTCCTTCATCTGGTATATAAAAGATCCCTTCAGTTGATCTATAAAAGACCGCTTCAGATGGTCTATGAAGAACTCCTTCATCTGGTCTTTTAAGGGAACCCCACCCATTCTCGATTTTAATTTTTCAAGATTTTCAATGGGCTGGTAAATCAATACCAATACTTGTTAAGGTTTGTAACTTTGCACATATATGTATGAAGATTTAAAAGAGAAGAAAAATAATTTACCAAAAATTTTTGTTTTTGTTTTGTTGTTGTTTTTTGTAATTAAAGAAAAGTCCTTATTTTTGATGGCGGGCATGATAACTCCTCACTGGAACATCGGAATCCGAAAATTCCAACGGTGTTAGAAGGAGTACATGTCTCGCTCTCGTATGAACTAGGATTATTGACTTCGCTCTAAAATTAACAAAATGGTGGACCTTTGAAAAAATATTTTTGGAAAATCGCCGATTTTTTACCAAAAACCAAGTTAAAAAATAAGGAAGATCTTCACCGACTGGCTTTATCCTAGTTCATACGAGAGCTATACACTCCCAGAGAAACGTTGCAAAATTTGGAACCGATTGGATTATTAGTTTTTGAGTTATCGTGCCCGCCATTCGCAAAAAAATGTTTAGAGAAAAACGCGTTTAAAGTTTGAGAAGCCCTTCAGCCGTCACTTGATGCTAACACAATAAATCAGCTATATCTTCAAGAGTTCTTGAGATTTTCACTTGAAATTTTGTAGAGACATTCTTTAATCAGTGTAGATTCGAATTATATCAACAAAAATTTTGACCCCGAGAATGGGGGGGTCCCCTTAAAAGCCCATAAGTTGATCTATAAAAGACTGCTTCAGCTGGTCTATAAAAGACCGCTTCAGCTGGTCTATAAAAGACCGCTTCAGCTGGTCTATAAAAGACCGCTTCAGCTGGTCTATAAAAGACCGCTTCAGCTGGTCTATAAAAGACCGCTTCAGCTGGTCTATAAAAGACCGCTTCAGCTGGTCTATAAAAGACCGCTTCAGCTGGTCTATAAAAGACCGCTTCAGCTGGTCTATAAAAGACCGCTTCAGCTGGTCTATAAAAGACCGCTTCAGCTGGTCTATAAAAGACCGCTTCAGCTGGTCTATAAAAGACCGCTTCAGCTGGTCTATAAAAGACCGCTTCAGCTGGTCTATGGAAAACCCCTTCAGTTGGTCTAGAAATGCCAGTTTAGGTGGTCTAGAAAATCCCGTTTCAGTCCTCATTTGGCCCTTCAGCTCGTCTATAAAAGATCTCTTATGCTGGTATAAAGAAAACCGCTTTAGCTAGTATAAAGAAGACCGCTTCTGCTGGTCTAAAAAATACCGCTTCAACTAGTCTATAAAAGAGCTGATCAAAAAAATAAAAGACCACATCAGCTTGACTATAATAAACTCCTCCAGCTGGTCCATAAAAATCATCTTCAGCTGTTTTATAAAATATCCTTTAGCTGGTCTATAAAATATCCCTTCAGCTAGTCAATAAAATACCGCTTTAGCTGGTCTATAAAATACCACTTCAGCTGGTCTAGAAAATACCCCTTCACCTGGTCCCGTTTATCAGATCTCCACATTTTATTTCCTTTTAATTAATTTTCTTACTATTTCCCTTCTTTTTCAGTACAAAACCGAACGAGATGGCATTGTCGAAACCCGAGTAGAACAAAAGATTACCATACAATCCGATGGCGATCCAATCGATCATGACAGAGCCTTAGCTGAAGCAATTCAGGTAACTTATTGAAATTTCATAATCAAATATACCCAAATACTAAACACATTTAATTTTTTTTTAAATTTTGCAGGAGGCCACAGCTATGAATCCCGACATGACAGTGGAGAAAATTGAAATCCAACAACAAACCCAATAGAAATAGAAATCGATAGAAATTTAGATTAGATGGAAACAAATGCTTTTTATAATAATAATATTATACAATACAATGTCGCGCCCACTCTCTTTTTTATATATTGTTGTACAATGGCAATTATTTGTATTATGGACCAAAGGCTGAGACTAAATATCAGAGAAGTTAGATTTGGTACGCTACCAACAAATCGTAAGACGGAACTCTCTCTGATTAGGCCTTTTGTTTTTAAATGCAATACTAAACAATTTTTCCAACCACTCCTAAAAAGCCTTCATGAAATAAAAAAACACAAACACACAAATTTACTATTTAAAGAAAATACCCCACACCCAATACATAAATACCTTGAAATATAAATAATTATAAAAATAAAAATATTTAATAATGACAAACTTTTTAAATGTATATCCATAACCACCCGTTCCCCCTCCTTTTTAAATACATATGTAATAACGTGTAACCTGTTTGTTTTTTTTAATTGATGTATGACAATTATTATTTTTCTATTATTTTTTTTTAATTTTAATTTTTTTATTATTTTTAATTTTTATTTAATGTGTTTTTTTACAATATATACATATAAAGAATATTTTTTTATTATTACGATAATTATTAAATACATATACAAGATTTTTACAAATATAAGCTTATAAATGTTGAAACAAGTAATGAAATAAAAATTATGAATTATTTAACATAACAAACAAAAAAAAAAACAAATGCGAAATCAAAAGAAAACAAATTTGAATAAACAGAAATTACATTTAAATGTTGTTTATAATTATATACATATATTATTAATAATTAATTTTTGCGCTATTTCACACACACTCTCTCTCTATCTATATATATAAATACATATACAATAAAATATAAATATACAATTTCTCTTATAAAAAAAACTCCTTTGTTTTGTGTATTTTATTTTATTTATATTTATTTCAATTCATTTTTAAACAAATTAAATATTTAATGTTTTTCAAATATTTTTGTTTTGCTCTTATCTTCATTTGGTCCTGTTTTCACATATAACAAATCAAAACACAATATATATAACAAAACCAAAACATAAATGACTTCATGTTACAGTTACGAATAATAAATTTTGAAATTGTATCACAGATCATTTTAATGGATAGCACCAAAAAGAAATGATATAAGATTTTATTAGTTGAAAAAAATTTTCTAGAAATCGGCATTGAATTGGCTTTTGTTATTTGAATATGTATAATTGAGATATTAATTCCTTTGAGGTAAGAAATTTTAACACTATAAATTTAATCTGGCATGTAAAATATGTTAAAATATTTTAAAATTCACAATATTTCAAGCAGAGGTTTCAAATTTGACTGAGATTTTTTTTTGTATTTAAAATAAGTTATATGGGTACCAATTTTTTCTTGATTCCATATAGAATTTGTAATATTCGTGATATGTAGTTATACTTATCCGGACTATGTTTTTATATATAGGTAAAGTGCATATTAAATTTGTCATTCTGTTTTCAATACCTCGAAATATTCACCGAGGGCCTTGCAAAGTATATATTTTCTTGATAAAAATAAAATTCCATGACGATTTACGCATGTCCTGTTCTGTCTGTTTATATCACGATAGAGCTTTGAAATTTTGCAGATACATTGCTAGTACCTAGGATGCTTGGTATTGATAATTGTATATATCGATCCACGTTTTGTTATAGCTCCCATATAAGGGTATCTCCAAATATTCGACATTATTGAGATTATTGATATGTTTTTCAACTGCAATATTCGATATTTTAGGGATTGTTGACATGATTTTCAACGGAATCTGCGTAATTTAATATTGCAGGTTCTCATTAGGTTACACATTATCCTACCAAAAACTATCAGTATTGCTCCAATTTTTAGTCTAGGCTCCATATAATTTTGCCCCCATTATTCGGTAATTTGGAGATTTTCGACACATTTTTCAATCGAATCGGCTGTAATTTGGTATTTTTGTATTCTCAGGGGGTATCAAATCTCACCACCAAAAATTATTAATATTGGCCCATGTTTCGGTATTTTTGGGATTTTTTCAATTTTTTTTTTTAACCAAATTGACAGTAATCTGATATTGTGGGTTCCACGCCTATTGCAGACCTTGAAATAATATTCTTTAATTAATCCATGCCAATAGTAGGCCTTGTAAAAATATTCTTTAATTAATCCATGCCAATAGTAGGCCTTGTAAAAATATTCTTTAATTAATCCACGCCTATTGCAGGCCTTGAATAATATTCTTTTATTAATACATGTCTATTGTAGGCCTTGTAAAAATATTCTTTAATAAACCCACGCTTATTGTAAGCCTTGAAAAAATATTCATTTATTAATCCACGCCTATTTTAGGCCTTGTAAAAATATTCTTTAATAAATCCACCCCTTTTGTATACTTTAATAAATCCATGCCTACTGTAGGTCTTGAAAAAATATGCTTTAATAAGTCCAAGCCTATTGCAGGCTTTGAAAAATATTCGTTTAAAAATCCTCGTTTACTGTAGGCCTTCAAAAATATTATTTCATAAATCCAGGCCTTGCTTAGTCCTTAAGAAATATTCTTTCAAAAATCAAAGCCTTCCATTTTTTTTTTGTTTTTTTGAAAATCCACGTTTAATGTAGGCCTTCAAAAATATTGCTTCATAAATCCACACCTTTGGAAGAACTTGAAAAAATGGTCTTTAAAAATCCACGTATTTGGAAGATGTTAAAAAATGGCCTCAAAAAAAATATTCTTTAAAACCCACGCCCTGTATAGGCCTCGAAATAATATTATTTCATACATCCGCGCCCCGTGTAGACCTCGAAAAAAAATATTTTATTAAAAATCCACGATTATGGAAGGTTCAAGGGTTTATCAAATTCACATGGGATGCCCAATCTTCCTACCATAAATTATTTTTGTCAGTTAATGGTTTGGAATAGCTCCCATAGTACGGTACCATCCCACCTTTTTCGGTATTTATAATTTCTTAACCGAATTTTCGCATACAATTTGCAACTCAGGCGGGTTCCGAAGTCAACAAGAACCCTGATTGGTTGATTGGCTATTTAAATACCTAATTCAAAACTCGGATATGCTAATAGTTAGAAAGCTGAAAATTTGCAATGCAACTTCTATAACCTGTATTAACATACACATAAATTTAGAAAAGATCATACCGTGGGTTCTATGGGCAGGCATTAATGGGTTAAGTAATATTGAATATACACCACGTGGTGAAGGGTATAAAAAGTTCGGTCCGGTTGAACATAATGACGTTGTTACTTGCTTACAGTAAATTTGTGCAAGAAACCCTATAAATTTAAAAATCTGACTACATACAGACTGTGTATGACCTAAAAGTATGCTATAATTGTCTTTATAAACCCGCTGCAAAATTATGAAAGGAAAAATGCCCATTTTTAAAATATCCATTTTTGTGTGGTTTCTCATTTCCAAATAATAGGTGCCCAGCACCGAACAGCAAGTATATTTCGGAACATCGTTGTGTTCATATATTTTGTGATTTTTTGAATCACCTGATGCAATTTGTGGCATTTTTACTGTAATTTCAAAATTTATTATTCGTAACTGTAATTTATATACAAACCGAAAAAGGGAGGACTCAGGTTACAGAAATATTAAAATATTTAAACTAACAATTAATGAAAATTATATGAGAGAAAATGAAAACTATTTTAACTAGACAAAACGAGTAGATTTTTCAAATATAAATTTTTAATAATTAAAATAAAAATATATATAGACACAACATCACACAATTTTGATCCTCCCACCAAATTCATGAAACCTTACAAAAAAAAAAAAAAAAAAAGAAATAAATAAAATTAAAAATTATATATATGAAATAAATTAAAAAAAATTAAATATAAAATTTATAATCGACAACAATATATAAAATTTATAATCAAACATTTGGTCTGTTCCAGAAACTGCAAGAATTTACAATTTTTTACTACGATAACAATTTTTCCTTTATTTTATCGAAGAAAATAGTAAAAATTAGTATATTATTGCCGTTGCGGAACATACAAATTTCGAACAATATTTAAAATTTGTTAACATATAAAAGAAATGATTGATATATGAATAAAATCTGAAACAAAAATTAATATACTATTCCATTCCAGCCTTATATTTGATGTTAAACAATCCTAAAAATAACCACAATAAAACAAAAGTATACAATTTATTCCCAGAAAGAAAATAATAAAATATTCCTAAAAAAAAAGAAAATAAATATTCGAAATATGAAATAGAAATTATTAATACAATAAAAAAATAAAAATTTTAATACCATACTCAATTGGAAATCAGATGTGGAAATAACCATAAAAGAAAAAAGTAAAGGAGAATATAAAAAAATAACCTTTTACTTTTTTCCTGTTATGATTTTTTTCCATGTTTGAATCCCAATTCTATACACAAAATTTTATTGAATGTCTTTATATACAATTAATAATAAATCGTATATCTTACATTAATAATAAAAAATATCCTCCACCTCCTTCTCCTCGTTGTCGTCTCGGAACACCACTACTCCAAAAACAAAATTTCATGTTCAAAACAGCAAATCATATTGTGTTCAAATGTTGGACTTCTTTTTTGTATAAAACTAAAAAAATAAAAATTAATACTTTTTATGATTATTTATATTTTAATATAAATAAATATATATTTATAAAAAAAAACACAATATTTATGAACACAAAATATATATTGGTCATACAATTCTCAATATAAAGAAAATTAAAATAATAATAAAAAAATAATTAAGAATAAATTTCAATTTGGGTCACTAAATATGTTTATCAAAAATATTCTAAAATGTTTTTCAAAACTTCGAAATATTAAAAAAAAAATTAATTAATTTTTGTTATTCTTTTGAAAATTACATTGACATTTTATTTACAATCAACGTTTACAACAAAATATTAAAACTTTTTATTAATTTCTCTTTCGTGATGAACTTTTTTTACATT